CCTTCTTGAGCAGTCCATTCCTGCGCTTCGCAAAGGTCACCTGCCGGTTGATCTTGTTCTCGATCCGCTTCAGCTCCACCCTTCCCCTCCCCATCTCCTCCTCCTCCTCCTCCAGAAAAACAACCCCCAAAAGAACCAGATCAACAGAAAGAAGAGGAAGGAAGGTTAAAAGAGGGAGCTTTTGGACTGGGAAGGGAATCGAAACCAAAACCCATTTGCCATTTATAGGAAAATTGGAAGTGGGGGGTGACCTTCCCTAACCCTAACAAGTCACCACCCTTTTAACCCGCGGAAACTCCCATACTTGAAAATATTTCCGCATACAAATCTCCATGCGGGCACAAGATCTACGGTCGAGATGAGCACGATCGAGATTTTTCACTGTTAAAGGCCATTTGTACGGTGAGATTTATGCGGGAGTCTGCAGGCATCTCTGCGACGGGCGCAACACCAACATGGACGGGTGGCGGTGGCAACTCCAATTGAAGGTGTTCGGGGTACGTGTCGAGCGGAAAGGCGGCAAGTGGGTCGCAAACGTCCGAGCCATGTTGAACGGAATCTTGAGAGAAATCGTGTGAGTGAGAGAGAGAGACGTGTTTAACTAATAAGAATGTTTTATGACTATTAAATCTTGATTTAATTAGAAGATATAATTATCTTGTTATCAAATAAACTATAGATACAAAGCAATCCATGCCAACGTAAGAGATTTGAGGTGATTTGTTCTTCTTGTTTATGTTCCAAGATGAGTATTACCTCTTATCGAATGTTATGCTTGTATTATTTGGAGGAATTGTTATTGTAGGAGTACTCCCTTTACACAAATCTCATATATGGAAATGCAAGGAAGAAGAGGTTGTAGTGGAGCAAACTGTGTACCTGAGAACTTAATAGGAATTGGAGAGGAAACAATGGGCTCAATGAAGCTTTACATTTGATAGGTTTTGGTTTTAGGAATCAATTCCTAATGTATGAAAAGTCAATTGTGACTTCACTTTTACCTTCACAAGAAGTATCCTTAAATGTGTAGGGAATGTCTAATATAGAAGAGAGATTATATAAACATGGTCATTATGTATTGAAGATAGCAACTAAGAAGCTATTTATAGAGTATGAGCCATATGTATTATTTACATGTTGATTTAGCACTAGTTAGGCAACATGAAAAGTTCCCCCCCCCACCCAAGAAAGAAGTGTGTGTGTGTGTGTCAAAAACTGAAGCTATTATTCAATTATGAGTTTAGGCTAAGGTCTAACATTTTTTTTTTCTTTGGAATCATTCTTTTATCAACCTTGATTCTGTTGTTATTTTAATTAGATTAGTATAAATCAAACTATTAGATAATGTGCAAAATAATGGGCAAAGAACACCTTATTCTTTCACTATATTGAGCTGCAGATACTAGGATTTGTGTCACAAGATAGTGAAGGTATATATTTATATTTTTAATGTATAGTTGGAGAAATAGGTCTGAGTGAAAATATGCAATTATGAATTATTGAGTATTTTATAAATAATAGATGTAACTGTTATTTAATAAAATTATATTTCAAAAGTTTACCCTTCTAATATTTTTAATATTTAGTTAAAATTAAATACATATTTTTAAAATTTAAATTAATATATAAAATAAATGAATGAATGCATGTAATCTTATAAAAAAAATTGTGTAGCCAAAATATAGAATAAATAAAAAATACAATGATATAAATAAATATAAAATAATATTTTAAGATGAATAAATAAAATTTTACCTTATAAAATACATAATTCATGTTGATTTCTCATTAAATCATTTTGATAATATTATACTTTTAGATAATATCATAAAATATTTTAAATTTTTAAAAAATATTTTTGCATCTGATAAATGTTAAAATACTAATGTTACTTTGAAATAGCATCAACAATTAGACTAAATATGATTTAAAGATATTAAATATAAATTTATATTTAAAATATATATTTGGACCTTAATGCACACTTTTCCATATGTTGCTCACTCCCTTCATGCACAGTAGTAGCAAAGCAACCATATCTTATTTCTCACTCAACTCTTGCACTTACCAGAGAAGGACCATAAAAGAAATTATCTGAAGTATTATACAGCAAGTAGTATTATGAAAAGATGGGAAGAGTGGCTCTTTAATGGCAGCCAACATCTCCAATGTGATGCCATTTCAACTTTCTTTCAAAGGCTCCATCCATCATTCTTGTGTTTTAAGGATGTCACGTCACTTCTTCCTGCATCTTACCATGAAAGACAAAAGATATGCAACCATTATGATTTCCATATGGTAATCTGATCACATTAATGAGTTGGATTCTCTATGTTTGCTAAGCTGGACAAAAACATTTCAAAACCTGCTGTAAAATGAAGAGACAAACCGAGTCAGAGCTTGGATTGTTATCAGCACAATCTACTGCCAAGAAAAGGGTGGAGCTTGAGATCCCCAGTCCGAGGAGCCTTCACCCCCTGCATGAAACACACTCTGACAGTGAAGACTGGCATCAGCTCCACGAACAATAAGTTGCCCATCCTCTACTCCTGAACAAGAAACCCCTGTCGGCAAAACATAGGTCGAAGCTTGAGGGCTGGAGTGGCAGGGAAGACTTGAAACCAGAGACTGATGCATAGGAACTCCATCAGCTGGCAGCATTTGGTCCGCGTTGATGCCTGGTTTTGTTGCTGATGACAGAAGAGAGAGAGCACAAATGTTGCCGCTGCTGCTTTCTGCTGTTGAAGAGGAGATGGTCATGAGGAATGGCAGGCGTGTTGTTATGCTGAAGCCGGCGATGTCGCCTTGCAGAAGAGGAACCTGCTTCCTGTTCTCGTTGCTGCTGAAGGAGCCTGAGAGATGTTGTTTGCTGTCGACAAACGTTAGGGGCGAGTGATTTGTATGTAGCATGTCTTCGGATTCGATGATCCCAGCCCAGTTGTGGCTTTGTATAGGAGTTGGAAGCAGGTGAGGATGCATCAAGAACCTGCTGCCTGCAAATGAGACAAACTATTAATGCAGAGAAAGATAACAGCTACAGATACTGATCGAACGCTATGTGAGCTCAGAAATGTGCAGAAATTATAGGTTCCGATGAAGGTCCTGACACTCATCACTCCAACCCTACTCATACATGTTTCTATTCATTTACAGTGTTGGATCACAATTCAAACCTTGATGATTTGGAAGTAAGCCCCCAGGATTAATGGAATCGGGTGGAGGCTTTCTTCGGCGCCGATTGTGTCCATCCAAACGTTTCCGACAGCTTCGTTTTGCCTCATCGAACTCCACCAGTTGGTGAAACCTGTGGCAGTCATTAACAGTCACTCAAATGGTAGAGGCAGCCAATTTGTTGACAGAGAGAAAGCTAATAAAGCAGTAGGAGAGCCGTATCAAGCAAAACTTCATCGAGCTGCCACAGAAAAGAAATCATGCACTAGTCAATTCCATTTCTCTCCCAAAGAACAGGAAAAGAAGGTAAAAGAAACAGAGATCTGACAGAAAGATATATATTCTCAGGTACAAGTAACGTACAAGCAGAGAACAGAAGAAAGCAAGAATACAGTGAAAGAGGCAGAGTAAAGGACATGCTCGTCAACCTTATCAAGTTGCGTAGGTTAGCTTTGGGCTAATAACTAAGCTTTCGCACGCCAAGAACAAAGTGAAGATGTAGTAAAAAGAAGGAAGATGGTGGCAGGAAACAGAGGATGAATTTATTTCCTTATTTTCTCTGATCAAGCAAATGAAGCCGAATTCTGGAATAAGCAGTCATAGTATTTATGTATTTATTGGCAATATCTCTAACATTTATCAGAATTCAACATACAAAGCTGAAACATATGGATGAGTTAAATGGGTCATAACCTGTCACGTTCATTACCTGCTGCACTGCTGGCAGAAGCGCTGCTCCTGGCCGCCCACCATGACGACTGGAGTCTTGGAATGGACCTCACACACCTTGTGGCGTCTGTGGTACTCCCTGGAGCCACTGAGATCGGCTTTGCACCCGTCCACCGAGCACGATGCGTTCTGGGGGGCGTTCCCCTGAGCTCGAGCCCTCCTCGATGGACCTACCGCCGTCGTCGTCATCGAAGGTTGGCTTCTCGACTTCTCTGCTGGTCTGATATCACCCAAGCCACCGAGTTTCAGATCAACCGAGCAATCCATCCCAGTTGAGTTCTGACTTCCAAGGACAAAGCTCGACCCGAGGAGAAACTCCATGTTTTTGTCTGCAACCTGCTCAACCTCTGGGAAAACCCATGAAGAGATCTTGGCATTCCACTCCATGGTAGCAACCTTCTCCTCTCTTCTATCTGACAGTAAACAAGCCTCTTCCCACCGATCTTAAAGGCTTGAACGAGAATGATTGGTGGTACAATCAGAGAGAGAGAGAGAGAGAGAGAGAGAGGCTTATACTGCAACTACAACGAGTGCCCTTGTCTACAAATCTTCATGGAGGAGAAGTGATAGGGTGTGATTGCTTTTAGCTTTTGAGGCTGGGGGAAAAGTACCAGAGGAGGTTGGAGGAGGAGAAGGACGACCATGTCATCTTGTCGCCATGCCTCCACTTATGCCAACGTGTCTCTCTTGTCTCTTTCCTTTGTACGTGCCCTACTTGTTGTAGAATCTCCACTCTTTTGCTCTCCTCTTCTTCCTGGATTAACTTCTACTCTTTCATCGACACCACCCGAGAAATCTATAAAGCTGAAAGGAATATTCCCTTCACAACAACTGGGGCTATTTTAATGCCCGCCAACCTCCATAATTCGACATTAAATCTAATTCCCACACGCCGCCCACCCATCACACCTTGGCGGCCGACGTGGCAACACCCCAGCCAAAGAAGGCCCCTGTGATCTGCATTATTTTAAGGAATTGGATCCGATCGCATTCAACTGTCAGCAACCATCGCTTCTGCAACCGTGTCCCCAAAGCATTTCTTCACATTCATGTTGTGTATTATCCTATATATATAAGAAATATTTTTAGAATTAATAAACCCTACTACTTCTTGCATTTTGTTGATGTGAATTGTTCCTAAAGAGATATGGGCGGCCCCATGTCGAGATTTCTTGGTGCAGAAAGCAGTGGCAACACCCTGGTAGTGTTCAGAATAAAGGTCACACTGATCATCGACACCTTTCACTTGCCTGTGCCCTAACATGTAATGGCATCCTCAGCTTTATGTGGGCCATTAATTCTTATATATCTTGCCAACCTTTGATATAGCAAATAGTTCCTAGAATTACTCTTTATCTTCTTTTCTCAATCTCAGCAAACTACATGCATAGAGAAAATAACCTCGACATTCTCATCACTGAGCTCCTCAAAAGATATGCCACAAGATTCCGGTGGAAATTAACTGGCTTCTCAGTAACAAAAGCAATGTCCTTAGTTTGATCTAATCTTATTCTCAAAGTCATGGAATGGCCAGAGCCCTCCCTTTTCAGAGCTCGACTTTGTTAAAGACGGGAGGGAGGGATCTTCTGCCATGGCCATTCACTTTTGTGGCAGCTCATGCCCTCAAGAAAGGAGCTCCATTGCTCCTTTCTCAGTTTATGAATACTTCTTGTAGAAGGATACATACAGTGGCATTGAGAGTAACTGACACTTCCCTGGTCCTCAACAAATAATTGAGGCTGACACTGAAATGAGTGTTCTCTCAGAGACTGGTCATGCGAGAGACAGACGTGACGGTGTAGAGCATATCGAGGTATGGCTGCACTAGAGAGGGAAGAGATCCTGCAGGTGCAGCATCGGAGGCTTGCTGTGGCCTTCCTTTTAACGTAAGGGACATGTCAGGATTAAAGTGGCAAACACGAGGAGGAGCCTTGGACGCACAAATCTAGCTTGGGGCCCTTCCAGGGTTCACTGCTGAGGACTCGAGTTTGGATTTGATGGTTCGATGTCGAGGAAGTTGACATGCAGTCTCTAGTCCAGTCTCAAGTCTCCCTTCCTCTACCTCCTCTCTTCTCCAACCCTTCCTGTTGCTGCATGCAGTACGAGAAGCATGGCTGTTACATTCTTCATCAAACAAATACATGCCTCCTGTGTTATCTATGCCTAGCAGTAGACTATTCGAAGTAATGGTTATCATTTACATGCATAAACTGAAAGACAGATAGAGTTTAGAAAGCTGAGAACTTCGCTCATTGCTTTATGTGACTACCAGGCAGTATATGCTCATGCTTTATGTAAGTGCTTCGTGATAGAAATTAAGCGAAGAAGATAGAAATCGTAGAAGAAACTATGAAATGTATAAGATATAATTGCCTAATACATTTTGATAGTGAGTTCTTGACAGCCATTTATACACACTCAGTAGGGAGGTTATACATGGAGGATTTTTCTCAACTGCTGAGAGATTTCCTCAACTGCCTTGAGCTTCCATCAAGGATGCCGATCTTGGACCGATGAGATGAAAATAGTTTACGAGCGAGAGGCTTTGTGAGTGAGTCGGCTAGTTGATCTGCTGTATGTACATGAGAAACTCGGAGTTGATGTCTGGCAACTTGATCTCGCACAAAATGGAAGTCGATGGCTATGTGTTTCATGCGGGAATGGAACACTGGATTGACACATAAATAAGTAGTTCCAATATTATCACAATATATTGTAGGAATAACCGTGGAGTTGACGTTGAGTTCCTTGAGCAAATTTGTGACCCAATTGAGTTCAGCAGCGGCGGTGGCGACGG